CTGTCTCAAAAAAAAAGAAAACATTAGTGATAGAATATTTCAAAAGCTGGGAAAAGGTCAATCAAAACAGTGCCTGAGGAACTGATTACTTGTCATTAGATTTAAGCCTCATAAAGATAAACTTTTGACCAGGTATAGTGGCATGAGTACCTGTAGTCAGTCCCAGCTGTTGGGGAGGCTGAGAAAGGAAGAGTGCTTGAACTCCAAAAGTTTTAGGTTGCTGTGATCCAGGCTGACACCACAGCACTCTTGCCCAGGTGACAAGAGAGAGACTGTCCTTTTCCAAAAAAAAATCCTTCTCCACTGCCTTGTCAGAAGGCAAGTATTCCAAAAAAAAAAAAGGCAGCAGCACCAGCCACATACACTAAGGGTGGTTCAAACCTGACCTGGACCAGCTAAACCAGGGGTCCTCAAACTTTTTAAACAGGAGACCAGTTCACTGTCCCTCAGACCTTTGGAGGGCCGGACTTCGGGGCTGCTAAGCAGGACAGGCAGTGGCAGCAAAAACAGCCGGCAGGCCAGATAAATGTCCTAGGTGGGCTGCATGTGGCTTGCGGGCCATGGTTTGAGGACTCCTGAGCTAAACCAACGAGAAAAACAACAAAAAAATAGTCAGGCGTTGTGGCAGGTGCCTGTAGTCCCAACTACTACTTGGGAGGCTGAGGCAACAGAATCACTTAAGCCCCAGAGTTTGAGGTTGCCGTGAGCTGTGATGTCACTGCACCCTACAAAGGGTGACATTTTGTCTCAAAAAAAAAAAAAAAAGAAAAGAAGAAGAGGCTTGGTGGCCGTAGCTCAGTAAGGCACCAGCCACATATACCAAAGCTGGTGGGTTTGAGCCCAGCCTGGCCCTGCTAAACAACAAGGACAACTGCAACCAAAAAATAGCCGGGTGTTGTGGTGGGCACCTGTAGTCCCAGCTACTTCGGAGGCTAAGGCAAGAGAATCACTTAAGCCCAAGAGTTTGAGGTTGCTGTGAGCTATGACACCACAGCACTCTCCTGAGGGGGACATAGCAAAACTCTGTCTCAAAAAAAAGAAAGAATTGCTATAAATGAAAGTACTCAATAAAATATACAACATAATACAAAATCATAATCAGCATTTATTATCTAAATATAAACTTCTATAAATAAAATGTACATACTCCATATAAATCAATGTTTCTACCATGTCCTTTAACATTCTTTCAATTGTGCATATGTACATAATAAGTATATATAGGAAAAGATACAACATAGGGAATCTACAAGAGACTTCATTCTGTTAAATTCAGCAATAATATTTTTAAAAGAAGTGGAGCTACCTAACTACAAAAATGAAAAAAGTTATTCAGAGTCACTTACCAATTGGAGGTGCTTGGTATCGATCCACTGTTTTTCTTTGTCTGAGATTATATGGCCTATCATTTTCCTCTCCTTCTGCCTCTTCGACTTCTATATCTCCATCCTCCTCTTGAGACTCTAGTTTTCCCACACAAAAAGAAAAACGAAAGCACTTTTTTAATCCAAAACAATTGGTCTATTGTGGAACTGAATATTTACATTTTACTTATAACTCTTCCTGCACAGGTGACATTTAAGTGCCAACAGTTTTTTTTTTTTGAGACAGAGCCTCAAGCTGTCACCCTGAGTAGAGTGCTGTGGCATCACAGCGCACAGCAACCTCCAACTCCTGGGCTCAACCGAGTCTCGTGCCTCTACCTCTCAAGTAAGCTTTGTTGGTTATACCTGTCATCATTACTGTTTGGCAGGCCAGGGCTGGATTCGAACCCACCAGCTCAGGTACATGTGGCTAGCGCCTTAGCCGCTTGAGCCATAGGCGCTGAGCCCCAACATTTTATTAAAATCAACCTAGATAGATGTAAAATAAAATACTTCTACCAATGATCAATTCTCTATTAAACAATCAATGTGCTCCCGTTTGACCTCTTTACTTACTAATTTGTAATCTCTTCAGAGCAACAATCAAGACAGACTTAAAAGTTTATCAGGCTCTACGCCTGTGGCTCAAATGGCTAAGGCGCCAGCCACATACACCTAAGGTGGTGGGTTTGAATCCAGCCTGGGCCCACCAAATAACAGTGATGCTGCAACCAAAAAACAGCTGGGCTTTGTGGCAGGCGCCTGTGGTCCTAGCTACTTGGGAGGCAGAGGCAGGAGACTTGCTTGAGCCCAGGAGTTGGAGGTTGCTGTGAGCTGCGATGCCATGGCACTCTACCCAGGGGATAGCT